CTGTACCAGGAAGTTTTCAATTTGAGTCCTATTACTAAAAGCAAACAGTGTTTTTGGTTCAATAAAAATATATTTTGACTTTCAGCAACAATTTTGTGCATAAATGCTTTGGTTTCTACATTAAAATGAAGCAAAATAAATTTTTTATTTTTTTTACAAATCTAATCTGCTTGCTGGGAGCTATCTATGTCACTATTAAATTAACATTGTGTGAAAATACTAATGAATGCACATTTATTATTTTATGTATCCACAAACTGAAGTAAGATTTCTACTATTAAGTGGCTATAAATGAGACAATGGCCAATGATTTATGAAGCTCTACTTCTTTGTTAAAATTTGTTTTAATTTTCCCCTTGGTGAAATAAGAAAATATCAAGGACTTACTTTAAGCTTAAAATTAAAAAAAAAAACGCATTTTCTCATTTCCTACCTTAATTTCTAAAGTGAACCAACTTTAGTGCAACATGGAATAGAATTTCTATATCACTGGCTTAGATGGTTCTTAAAGTGCCTTCAAGTTCAATTGCATTTTGCATATTATTTGAGCATTAGATACATTAGTGGGTAATATTGGCAATAATCAAAGTTGTTTTAGTTGCCATCCATATATAAGCAAGAAAAAATACAAGAATGCTGATTACTGCATTCGTTGGGAATGTATACGGAAAATGCAAAAAGCTCATATTCAGTAGGGAGTATATGAAATGTTTGAAATGCAATGCAAAAGTAAAGACTTTAAAAAAATACCACAATGGAAATACCAGATAAGTTAAAAAAAAAAAGAGAGGCAGTTGGATTGGACACATGAAGTTCCAAATTATATGCTACTATTCTTTTGATTTAACAAGCCCTTCAAATGTCTGTCAATTAGTAACTTTTTGTTGTTGGCAAAGGAATGTTTAATAACTCTAAATCTAGGGAACCCATGATCAAGACATGTAGTTAAAAAAGGATTCTTCTTTAAATGCAATATTATAAGTACCAGATTAGAAAAATAATCTCTCATGCAACTGGGAATTACCTCTACTGCACAATTTATTTATGTGCCTTTAATATGCCATGAGATCCATGCAAGTTACTAAAAGTTCTAGATTCAAAGGCAATTTTCAACACGAGAAGGTTTGACTATATTTTTTTTAAAAGATTTTGCTTTTAATTTTTAATTAACATAGTCAGAAACCTCTGTAGAAGTCATTTTGTTACCTCACAAAACTTGCCTATAGAGTCTTAAGCACTCGGGAATTTTATAAATCTCTATAAAATGAAGATGATTCTTCACCCCACACTGTCTTGTAGTTCAACAGTAAGAAAATGTTGAAACTTTTGAGAGTGATGACATATGCACAGGTTTGGGTCGACAATGTAAAGAGAGCTGCTTTTTAGTATATGCACGAAAATAGTGTTAGGATATACAGAAGATCCTCTACTTATGATGGGGTTATATCTCAATAAATTCATCATAAATTGAAAATATTGTGACTTGGAAATACACACCAGAACCCTAAACTACCAAACATTACAGCTTAGCAACCCATCGCACTGTAGAGAATGGGTTGTTTCCCCTGATGATCACCTGGAAGCTCTGCATGCTACTGCTCAGTATCATAAGCAGATCATACCACACATTGTCAGACCAAGAAAAAATGCAAATTCCAAATTCAAAGTACAGTTTCCACTGAATTGGTATCATTTTCACATCATTGTGATGTCAAAAAATTGTAAGGTGAACCATTTTAAATTGGGGACTGTCTGTACTCATAAGAATTTCTCAATCCAGTATACCTTGCTCTGGAGGCCATTCTGCAGTAATGTGATTATGAACTTAGATATGCTTCAAGCCATTCAAAATAACAGATTATTCAAATATTTAGGATATGCATTATACCTTCCTTTGTATCCATTATGGATATGTATCACATACAAATTCACATGTGCAATGTCATATATTAATTTGGGAGACAACCAGAAGTTTGAAAAGAAAACTACATTGAAGATCTATAGCCAAAGAGGCAAACTAATCCATAACAACATTTGATAGAGTTCACCTGAATTCCTAATTATTTCTAATTATCTACAGAAAGGTCTTCCATTAAATGATTATACTACTTCTTCCAAACTATTTCCTTCTTGAAGATTTGTAGACTGAATCCCTCTTCCAAATTGGAGGAAAAGTCCAATGAATGCCAAATAACTTAAAATTTTGTGAGAATAAATATGTCAGAAGTCAGATAAATGTTTTTAAATATCACAAATAGAATGATGTTTCCAAAAGTGTTTTTGTATTATTTCCATATCTCTATAGCAGAAAGTATAGTATATGCAAAAATAGAAAACAGAAATAAAAGCAAAATCAGGAAATCATTGAAATGCTGTTTCACTCATTGATAGATACGTTGATGATAGGTAGGTATGTAGGTACATAGATAGATTATCCCTAATAACCAGGGAACAATGGAACCTACATTGGATAAAACAACAACAACAAAGGCTTCTACCCAGTAGACACTAAAGCATGTTTCATTTTGGTACCCATCACATTCTGTGCAACACCAACTTTTCTGTCATGTAATCCTTCTCTTCATTCATATTTAAGTAACTGAATGTACATTTTATTTGGCACCCTCTAGTTAATATTTTGGCTAACGAGGAAGTAAAATTTAATGAATTTGGCCATATGTATAAATATGAATCCAAAACTACTATCAAGATAATTAAAAATTCCATTACCCTAATAGTATCATTGAGCTTAAGGAAGCTGCTCCAAGATTTTTCAAACTAGGTTAACAATTGCATTGCACTCTGCTTGACAGAAATATCTGAAATTGCTATGGAAAACCTTTAGTAGCATGAAAATAATTTGCCTAATATTCATCAACCACAAAGTAAAAACAAAAACAAAACAAGCAGGATTCAAAAAATAGTTAGCTTCCAATTACAATATATATGAGACTCTGAAGATGTTTTGAACAAGAAATAATAATTAATAATAATAATAATGTTAGATGATCCAGCAATAATAAATTTAAAAATAACAATTAGTAGTAGAATATAAATTGAAAAAGAACATGGTCAGTGTGGAGGATTACTTGTGGCTATGGAAGTCAAAAAGGAATTATATATTGAAAAGTCAAAAAGGAATTATATATTGAAGCACACACAAAAAAATAGGTGAATCAGTGATCATGATAGATTCATAAGACAATTTGCAGATATATACCATAGACTTATATTTTGAGTAACAATTATTCCCAAAGGGGGGGAAGAATACGTGAAGAAGAAGCAAATATTTAATAAGTGCAGAAAATAATTTCTCATTATGAAAACACATTCTACATTATAAGATCTTATCTAAATTCCTGAAAGACTGATCAAAGAAGATATATGCTGATAAAATTCTTTATTCCAGGGTTAAAGACAAAAATCTTACAAACTAGAGCAAAGAAAACAATATCTTCAAAGGCAAAAGAAATTCAGATGAGCATTGGACATATTGGCCAGAAAACAGGGCAAGAACATCTGCAGAAAAAAAAGGATAGTGAGGTACATGGTGCCCACCTGAAAGGTTGCAGCAGGAGGATTATAAGTTCAAAGCCAACCTCAGCAACTTAATAAGGCTCTAAGCAACTGTCTCAAAATATAGATAAATAAATAAGGGCTTGGGATGTCATTCAGTGGTAAAGCACTCAATGTGTTCAACATGGTACCAAAAAAAAATAAAAGAAGAAGAACAAAGAAAAAATAACAAATCAATTATTCTACACAACACCATTATTTAATTGGAAAATAGGAAAAATAGATATATTTTATACTTCAAAAAATTAAATTATATTTTATATATCTTCCTTTCTTGAAGACAATATTTAAATATTTCCTCTGATATTTACTTAGATTCTGTTGAAACGGAACGACAACTGTGGAACTGAAAATCAAGTGATACAGAAACCGAGACTTGTGAAAGAATTGTTTCATAAATCTGAGTGAAATATGATAGACTGGGAAAGTAGGATTGAAATTTGAAATAGTCCTTAAAGTAAAAAGATATAGGGAAAATCTCATTACTATTTTGGATCAGTAGTCAAAAAACTGATTCTGCCTACTGATTCCTTTTGTAAATACCATTCTTTTTAGGCAGGGAAAATAGCCCTGTCCAATAGTTTGTGTATTATCTACTTTCACTATAGAATACAGAGTTGAGTAGTTATGACCGAGATTTCATAAATCCCCCAATCAAAGATTTTCTTTCTTTTTTTTAAAAAAAGATATTTCCATTCATCTTCTAGAGCTAAAAATATTACATCTTGGCAAACCCTAAGACTTTGAGGCAAAGTAATTTCAATGCCTTGTTGATGAGAAAAGAAAGGGGATAGAGTAGAGAAGAGAACGGGCATACTTTAAATAACCCTTTTCCAAAATGGAGAAAATTAAGTAAAGTGAATGTTCATGTCAATATAAGAATATTCAATTTGCAAACAATAGTAGAAAACTATGTTTATAGTTTTTTATACATATCTAGAAAACTAGATATGTATCATATCTAGAAAGGTAAGCATGAGTGCAGAGGAAAAATAGATAATACACATTAAAAGAAAAACACAACCTCATGGACAGTATATCGAAGACACCAAATATAAATGAACAGACAAATAAGGGGATGTATACAGAGGAGGAACAGTGTACAACAAATGATAAAAAGTGTAAATGATCAACAATTCCAGTGAAAAGTAGAAATAAGATCTGTCTGTAAAAAAGACCCTCTGAATAGATTTCAAAAAGATAATCTCGCAATAATTATACTGTTAATGACTAAGCTTAACCAAATTAATCAATTCAGGCTGAAAATACTGGAACAGTTAAAAAAAGGAAAATAAATAAAGGAATAAGCAAGGTTTTTATAACAAGTTGATCCCCACATTTCTGTGGTTTAGAACAACATAAGGTCATTTCAGAGTTACATAGTATTATTTAATGTTTGATCAATCACTTTTTTTTGGTTCCAGCCAAGAAGGGGAAAGACTTTGGAGGATACAGACTCTGGCAGGAGGCAGCAGTCTTCTTCCTGGAGACTTGAGGCCTGAGGTCAGCAGCCAACTGCTCAGAAGAAGGTAACACAATGACAAAGATTCTGTAATCCAGCATCACCTCTCCTACTTTATGAAGAGGCTGATATTTTTGTTTCATTGTAAAGATCCCATTGGACTTGGCATTTGGGAAACCAGAGGCTGGTTCTTCTGATAGGAGAGAACAGACTGGTCCTGATAACGCTGAGCTAGGTGAGGAGGATCCAAGAAACAGTGAAGTAACATCATGTGATACCTTTGTGGTAGCCAGTTGTTATGGTTCCACTTTAAGTGAGGTGACCATCCAAGGTCATTGGATGTTTCTGGCAAGTAGATACTACAATGATATTTTTAAACAATTGAACTGGCTGCTTTGAAGAGACGTGACCATAGCAATAAGTATAAAGGAGAAAAAGCTTTTGGTGGTAGTATATATGAGAGATGATGGTGACTTGGACCATTACACTAGCAGTGAAAGTGATGAGAATTGTTGGTATTTAAAGAAACAGTTAATCTATCATATCAATTATAAAGCTTCAATAATTGGATTCAATGTTAATTACATTTGTCACTTAGCCTTTATCTCCATTGATTTACGCATCAATAAAAATGTATTTGCTTCTTAGGTGATATTCATAAAGGATAAAAATCCTGATATAAAACTATAGTTTTGTGTTTATGGGAGATACAGAAATAAATGTCTTTCTTCATGTGACTCTATATTGGGAATGACAATGTGATGGCAGATTTATTTGAGGATTTTATATGTAAATTTTTAAAATGCCTTATCAAATGTGGATTTGAATCTCAACATCTAAGCAGATTATGTTTCTCACACTTTCCTAAGAAAGCATTTAGATTTAATTCATTTTGTTGGATCTCTGGGTCTAAATCAGAAGCCCTGGCTTAGATTACTGTTCCAAAGACAATATAACCTAAAGTTTTCTTAAGCAGAATAATTCTAGGTAGATAACATTCATTTGTTTATTATGCATAGAATCTCTCAGAGTTAAGCGCTGTGTGTTTTCTTTCTTTCTTTCTTTCTTTTTTCTTTTTTTGTCTTTTTTACTGAATCTCAAAATCCTAAAGCAAGGTTCAGAACTATAGGATGTTGAGTCTACCTACCAGAGACATGAATAGTTGTGTTTTAATGAAAAACTGCTCATTGTGATATTTTATTAGGATTTTTAAAAACTCAGCCTAGGGATAGCCAAACATATTTTCAACAAATTATTGTAATAGATGCAAATTTTTGTTGTGATTTTAAATTACCATTAAAAGTATTACATTCTTTGTGTAGTATATTAACATTTTATTATGCTCGTATTCAAGATATGCAGAATTGGAGAAGAGAATAAATGTTGAATTTGGAGGGGTTCCAATAATTAACATCTATTTTTTCCTGTGTGTTCAATTGGTAAAAGTATGTGTCCTTAAGGTAAGCTATCTGTACTCTGTTCAAACAAAGAAATTTTCTATATCCTGTAAAAAACTGGCAAAGTCATAAGGACCTCTGTGGGAGGTATTAATTACAACTCGGAGGGATCCCCATTTAGCCTCAAGGTCTCAAAATACTATAAAGGGCAGCTCAGTCTTACAATCCTCAGCCTCTAATTCTTGCACATCTGGTGACATATTCTGCAAGATTTCTGTAAATCACCCTTCGGAAAGCAGTTAAAGAAATGTGAACTCAACCACTTTTAAATTGAGTAAAAGTGAGAGATAATGATGTTGCTTAATTTAATAAGAATGTTTGGCACAGAAAATGTCTGTAGGATGACTAGTTTAAAATGCTAGTGGTATGAACAGGTAGAAAATATTAGCTTTAGGCATCTTTATGTCACTGTGACCAAGAACAATTTAGAGGAGGAAAAATTTACTTTGGGCTCAAGGTTTCAGAGATTCAAGCAATAGATGACCAAATCTATATCTCTGTGCTCCAGGCAGATTAGAACATCAGGACTGAAGGGTGTGGTCCAGGAAAACTACTCAGTCAATCACAGCCAGAAAGCTTCACTCACCTGGGTCAAATATAAAAACCCAAAGGCTAGTCCCTAGTGATCTCCTTCTTTCAAAAGCATCCTACCTGACAATAGATACCACCCCGCTAATCCACTTGTGGATTAACCCACTGATTATGTTATAGTTCTCATAGTCTGATCATTTTACCTTTGAACATTTTCACATTGTCTCACACATGAGTTTTTGTGGGCCATCTCATAAGGAAACTCTAACAGTATTTAAAACATAGTGTTTCTCAAATTTGAATCCAAGAGGGAAAATAATGTCCTGCTCTTCACAGATACATGATATTGGGAGGATGTTGTTTATGGATTTTTTTTGTTTATTCTAAAGATCAAAAATTTTGCTATAGGACTTCAATTAACAAAATAGTTTACTAACAAGAGCAATTCAAGGAACAGGGAAGAGGCCAATTACATGAAAACTAAACTGAGAATTTAGGGGGAAACAAATATATATACAAAGGTTGAAAGGTGAATTATTTCCAAGTTATTGAGGAATGATCTCACAGTGACCTTGGTGAACACAGCACAGAAAGGGTTAATCCAATGATGACTGTAAAAGATGAGTCTGAAAGCAGATCATGAGAGAGATGGTGATGTGCCTGAGTATAGGCAGAATGATCACCTGAAGATGTGCACATTGAAGTCCCCAGAACCTGTGAATAAGTCACATGGAAAGGTACCTTGAAGATGTAATTAAAGCTGTGAATCTTAGGATATGTATTACCCAGGTAGGCCCAGTTTAATCATGAGAACTTACCAGCTGGAGACAGAAGAGAGAATGGAAGGCAGAGATCTTCCAAATGTAATTGGCCACATGTAAAGATAAGAAAGATGGGGCTGGGCAGGCCCCTCCACTCCCAGCCAGAAAGGAAATTGGGACTACTACTCCTCTCTCTTGGAAATGGATCTTACCAAAACCCTAAGTAAGGCTTGAATCAGATTCTTTCAAGAATCTCCAGATGAGAACTTGCCTCTGTCCCCACCCACTGCTGCCTCCAGATGAGGACATTGACACTATTTTTTTTTTCCTTCAAGTGTTTAAACAGAGAAACCAGCTAAGCCAACACAGACTTATGATGATCATACTTGTGAAATCATAAATATTGTTGTTTTAAAACCCCAAAGTAACCAAGTACAGTGACGCACACCTGTAATCCCAGTGACTCCGGAGGCTGAGCAGGGAGATGTCAAGTTAAAAGGCAACCTCAGCAATTTAGTGAAACCCTAGGTAACTTAATGAGACCCTATCTCTAAATAAAATATAAAACATACTAAGAATGTAGCTCAGTGGTTAAGTACTCTTAGGTTTCACTAGCAAAATTTGTATGTTTGTGTGTGTGTGTGTGTGTGTGTGTGTGTGTGTGTACGCGTGCAGGCAAGCTCACACACTTGTATAATGCAAATAAATTGTCACTGCAAGGGACTTTAATCAGAATATTTCAACAAAAATATTGAAAGGAGTAAAATCATTATTGTCAAAAAATGGGGGTAATGACCACTTATGGCAATTACTAAATTGAACTTTGATGTGTAGTGATCCTGAAAGACAGGGTAATATGTTATTAGATTTATATGAGCAAAAAGAGAAGTCTTTTTTGTGGAACAATTTCTTCCATCACTCTTTTATCTCAGGTATCAAAGACCATAGGAAATTATATAAGTAAATAAGAGCCACTATTGGTCAGATGAAAATGACAAGAATGTGCTTGTATAGTGCCAAGATATGAAAATGGAATTAAAAAGTAGAAAACATAAAAGTAAGGAAGCTGTGATGGTTTGATAATGAGGTATCCCCCAAAAGCTCATGTGAAAGACAATGCAGGAAGATTCAGAAGTGAAATGATTGGGTTATGAGAGTCTTAACCTACCAGTGCATTAATCCAGTTGAGTGGATAAACTAAGTGGTGACTGTAGTTAGGTAGAGTTTGACAGGAGGAGGTGGGTCACAGTGGGTGCACCCTCAAGGTAGATATTTTATCCCTAGAAGTGAGAAGCCTCTCTCTGCTTCCTGATTGCCATGTGCTGAGCTGTTTGCCTCCTCAACAACCTTTCACATTGACATCCTGCCTCATCTTGGGCCCAGAGCAATGGAACCAGCCATCTCTGCAGTGAGATCTGAAACAGTGAGCCCCAAATAAATGCTATTCCTCTAAAATTAAACTGTATTTAAAATTTAGTATAAATATAGGTAGACTTGCTCTATTTTAATAAATTCTTTAAGTTCATCATAATTATGTCACAAATTTTGTGGATTTCAAAATAATTCTCTTAATATCCTTTTTAAATGACTCTTTGTTCCAGTTTTTAAAATTTTCTCTGAGATTGATATTCTTATCTCAAACACCAAAACCCATGGTTATGATTTAGTCAAGTTTTGCATTTTCTAATAATTATAACTCCTGATAATACCAATTTTGATTGTTTTCTTTCCCAATCACCAAAAGTTATTTATAACTCATTTCATCTGGTGTTCCCCAAAGGAAAGCTCTCCTATTTCATTTGTTTTTTATTGTCTCACTCTATTCATGTTTTCCCAACCATTTTCACCTAACTGTATGAGAAAGGAATTGTCATTTTAAACTACAAACCCCAAGAGGAGCTGCATATCTCCTTCCTAACTCCCTCCTTCTAGTTATTCCAGTTAGGAATCTAGGACTTTTCTTGAATTTTTCATTTCTCCTCTACCATATCCAATACATCATTATTTCCTTTTGGCACTGATTGCAAAATATAAATAGATTATTTCAGTTCTCCTCATGTCTACCGACAACATCTTATGAAACCACTATAATTTCTCGTGTTGATTTCTGAAATAACTCTCAATCTCCTTTTGCTCCTTCTGTCCTCACCCTTATATAAAGCCTATTCTTAACACAGGACACACTGTCCCTGATACTAAGATTAGGATATTGCTCTAATGACAACCTGCCCATAACTCCTTCATTCCTTATTTTTTTTCATCAGTGTAAAAACCAATGTCATAATGTAGCCTAAAAGGGCTGTCTGAGCTGCCCTGAGCACGTTCTGACCCATGGTAGAGAATCCTCCCTTTCTATCCTATAACATCATTTCCAGTTCTGAGCTTCTGTTTGAACATATGTAGCTATGTTCTCCCTTCCCCCTCTCAGGCAGGGATGGGAAGCCCTGAGGTGGCTGCATACCCTTCTTTTCAGAGACCAACATAATGTCACATTCTCAATGAGAACTTCTATACTCATTTTTTAGTAGAAACTAACAAACCTACTTTATCCTCACCTGTTAACTCTCCCTTGTCACTCTTTTTTTTTTAACAAAAAATCACTTGATACCATCAAATGTAGTGCATATTTATTACTACAGATGTACTAAGTACCTGTCTCTTCTAATTAGATTTCTAGCTCCATGATAGAGGATATGTTGTCTGCTTAAGGCACTTGTATATACACACATACTCACGAATGAAGACAAAAACACTGTAGACATACAATGTACCTAGTAAAAAATAATGAAGAATTTCTAATCATTATAGCTATACTTAAATAGAACGAAAAAAAATCTGTCATTTTCACTTATCAGACAGGTGTCCTTTGTGTAAAAATTTGGGTAAAAAAATAATACTGCTAAGTAGAATATTTCATTTGTCTTCTAGATGTATGAAGAAATAATGGTCTCAGAGAAAGATAAAAGTAGTGTGAATGAGTAGTATGACAGAACTTCCTTTTTTATATTTTAAATATATATTCTGTTTATATAAAGTGATGTATTATATATTGCCAAATAAATGCATTACTCAGAATAATAAAACTCTACTCTTACTGAAATGAACATGGCCAAAACACAGATAAATCTACAAACTTGCAAGTCAATACAAAATTTATTATCTACTCTTTTTAAAAGTTGAGGTAGATGCATCAAGGAAATTATGAAGAAGAAAATTACATCTCTCTTTCAATAGTGCATGCAATCAACTTAGAAAGAAAAGATTTAATTTTTGAAAGCTTAATATCCTTATATGAGTTTAGAATTTCCTTCCAGATAACAAAAAAACTATTACTATGAATAATTTAGGCATGGGCATTTCTAGATTAGGAGGGATATAAAATTTCATTTTGGTATTCAAGGTATTCATAATCTAAATCATAAGTGAGAACACATTGCCCTGTCCTTGGCTACAAGCACAGGGATTCTGGATATTGCCATCCAGTGCACAGTGACCCGAGCCATTAATGAGAAAGCTTTAAAAGGTTATTGAGAAGCAGAGTTGAAGAAGAACACAAGAAATCCCTGGATTCTGCACAGTTCTTTCCTTCACAGAAGTGCTTGGGACTTCTATTTAGAAGGGAGTTCCAATACAGAATACCTGTCTTAGCATAGCTTGGAATATGAGTGGGCCATCCCCAAATAGAGTAGGTGCCCTTTATCTTCTTTATAACAAGGGACATGATAAGAGATCTCAGGCCTAGGAAATAAATCCAGAGCTCAGCTAGAGAGACTACATATCAATCTTGTTGATATCTGTCAGAGGTCTGGCTATTACTTTGAAAGTCTCAGTTCATTGCAGCTCAAAAGCTCTGTGCCAGGCCACAGAGAAAAGAAAAGGGACAGGAAGAGCTATTCATGCACAGATTTTTATCTTCTCTATTCTCTCTGTGGCTAGCACTTAGCATCTAATTAAATATATGGTTCCTAATCAAACAATATAATCATGTGAATTTTAATGGGGTCTTTAATGCCTGCTTGCAGCAAAAGGAGATTAAAAAAAAATCCAAAAGATCACAAAAAATACCATGAAGTCTATCACAGCAAGGCTAGGTCCATGACACTTGGAGATATTTGCTCTGCTTGTGCAGATACTGCACTTAGAGATCAATTTGATCTTAGGACACTGACTTAAAAGTAGTGCAAGTTCAGGTTTGCCATGTTCTACTTCCTGGAGAGCCTTGGAGTCCCAGGTTCCATTACCTGGACAAACAGTTAATGCTAGTCTGCTTAGCAATAAAAACTCACGTGATTTGATGAGAAAATTCCATAGAGTGTCACATAAATAGGGAATCACCTCTGTTTAGTGATGAAATCCTGTGTCCTTGATACCCCCAGAAAGATGACCAGAGAAGGTAAGAGGAGATGTCACCAATGACACCTGAGTTTTGGATCAGTATCAAAGACTGAATCATTTTTTTCACATAAGTTCTTTCAAGTCCAAGGGGAGGGTCTTTCCTGTGTAGGAGAAAGTTAATTCCTAGCAGCACGAAGTGTTCAGCACACCAAGAGGGGAGATGGCATCTGATTCTCTCTAGTGTTTACTCTTCCTTTCGTGAGTACACGGGTTGGTTCTGGAGGAGGGTTGAATGTATCAGACAGCTCTGCGGTGGAGAGGAGCACTCCAGGCCATTTGAGGAAGTTTGGCTTCACTTCTAGATATTATGAAGTACCGATTCTGTTGGGAACCAAGATGTAAAAGTGAGACTATCAGGAATAAAAATCATGCATGAAAAAGAAAAAAAATAATAAAAACAGTGTGCAGTTTATCCTCTAAATATTTTCTAACTTCACATTCCTGACACTTGAAACTCAATTTAAGTAGTTTGGAACTATTGTACCTGAAAATAGTTCCTAACAGAACTCATCTTGATATGTTCCTACAGCATAGTTGGAAAGAGAACAGTCCTTGTTCATTCTAGTAATTGCCAGTATTGAAATTTTTTAAATTCACAAGTTGTATTTTACTGCATTCAGAATATTTACCTGTTTTTTTCACTTGACACATAAAAATTGTACTCATTTACAGGTTATGAGTAGTCATTTACTCATTTATAGTGAGGTAACTAGAGTTGGCAACAATTAATTGTGTCTTTCAAAATAGCTAGAAGAGAGGACTGTGAATGTTGCTGACATAAAGAAATGATGCATGTGTGGGTAATAGATATGCCAATTACACTGGTATGATCATTACTCATTCTTTATGTGTATTAAAGTATCACAGTGTACCCCATTACTGAAATATTTTGAGAATAAATCCACAATGCTATGGTGCAAATGATGGGTACGTATGTTAATTTAATTCAGAGGCTTTCCTTAACTGTGGTTGTGAGTACCTATTTCTATCATCCATCTATCTGTGTATCTATGTATGTATGTATGTATCTATCTACCTGTCTGTCACTGAGTCTGTAATTTAAATACATCATATTGCTACGTATTTAGTTACTGATATCTTGGTGTTCCAGTGGCACCATTATCAGTGAATATCAGTTACCTGTGCATCTATGTAAAAGTGTATTTTAATTAGTTTCATAATAGAATGTTTAATTCCTAAGAATAGGATGTGAAATTTAGATTATTCTTAAGAACATTCAGTGCCATGCACACTCTGCTCCTTACTATCATTAGGGACCACTGCAACCTTACGCTAGACAACCCATGTTGGAAGTGGATAATTTTTCAGAAAACCATGCTCTCTTACCAGGTGACAAATCCATAGGTGGGGTCATCTGAAGCAGTCATTCAGATAATTTAGTGAGTGGTACTGGTTCTGTGACTGACTCGCGGGTGAGTTGTACTTCTCGAAGTTTACCAGTTGACTCAGCGGGATATGCCATTCCATTTCATAGTGGAGGACACGAGAATAGCAGTCTATGAATTTTATCTTCATTCAAGACCCAAACATCTTCAACTATGACTATGTGAAGTTTCCTCATTGGGATTCACCATAAGAAGGTAGCCAACGCAAAGGGATATTTAAACACATACTAGTAGCTAATATTCTCCTAAAACTTGCTGCACTCAGTGAAGAAACAGTGAAGAATCATTCACATACCCTTGTGCAAAAAAGTGCTGATATACTGTAGGCCTTGCCACATGGCAGCAAATTGATCTTGGTCTTTTTTTCTTTTGAAAGTTCAACAGAAAACGAAAGTATTGGTAATGCCCAAGGCTTCAAACATGGTCCTAGTAATGGAAGCACACTGCTGTCCACATGACATCAGCTGTTGCCTGTAGAGCAGGAACTATTTGTATTTGATGTCTACAGGACAGGTCCCACCATCAATGATGACACTATTAATGAAATAATATCCCATATGACTCTGGCCTCAATCAAATATGTGGTGAGAAGAAGAAATACATTTTCTTCTATTGTCATAAGATATTGATTTAACTATATAATCCTGACAAGTTTTGTAAGTACAGCAGGTCCCTAGAAATGCACTACAAATATAGTGACCGAATCTATTATTAAGAATTTATGTGTGTGTTTATCTAATCTAACATGTATGCATGCTTGCACTAAGATAATACTTCAAAATGCCCATATCATGTGTAGTGTTTATTAAATGGCCATCAATCATAAATCCAAATAAACAGCAGCGCTCAAAGTAATTGCAACTGCTTTCTCTTGGCCAAAAGCAATGCTATCTTGTAATGTTGAAAGGGGTTTTTTATTCCCAGAAATAACAGACATCTGAGATTCAATTCCAAGTAATCGAATCCAGAATTACCTGACAAATCCTAACCTGCACTTTTTTTTTTCCTAGTGCATATGATTTGGAGGTTAGGGTCAACAGTCCTATTTAGGGCAGCAAGACTAGAAGGTTTGTCTCCAGCCTTCATTTTGTTACAGTGGATTAACTGCTGGTCTGAGGATATGCCATACCCAGAATAGGAACAGTGGACCCACACAGCTTGTCTCTAAGGGACATCCCAGGTTGGAATTCAAAGACATCCACTGCACCATTAGCTGAACTGATGTTTCTCTTTTTCTTCTTAGAACTTGAAACTTCTCTAAAGTTGTGAGTACAAGCCAAGAAATCAAGATTTAAATGAACATACCCTCCTTGATTGCCTCTGTATTAATTTTCTCGTGCAAAGTACCAACAACATAGTGATTCAAAGCAAAACACATTGTTGTGTTAAAGCAGCCATTCATTTTAAGCTCTCTGTTCTTGTTCTGACACAATCAGTCTCACCAGCTTCCTTCTCCATTAGAATACCACAACCAGCTTGCATCTTCTTTTCAGGCACCTGGGGCCTAGACAAGGTTCAAAGGACCCTTCCTCCAAAGCTCCACATTCTAGCAATGTGTACTTCTTTGTTTTCCTCTGTCCCAGAGTTACCTAAATGACCTTCAACATACTTTTTACCTTTCACTGTCTCAATGTGTTTAACCATTTACAGACGTTAAAAATCATCTTTTTAAGAAATCATTTGATTTCTTTTTTCTAACCTGGTTCCCCTTAGCACATAATAAAGGAGGTACACAATGCACTGTCCCCATGCTGTGGTGCTCTTTTGACTACAGGACCCACTGCCTTCTACATGTAAAGGGTGGGCAAGGAAGTGCTGGCCTAGGGAGCGCCTGGCTGTGTTCCCAAGTTCATGTCTTTCTTCTCTCACAAATGCATTTCTTATTTGCTCAAAGGAAATAAATTGGTGCTGTAACAAGTATTGTGATACCTTCAAAATCAAATGAGCTACATATGTTGTAACAAACACAAGAATAACAACTAGTGTATTGTATGTTGCACTGGTTTTTTTTTGTTTTTTGTGGGTTTTTTTTTTGCATTTTTCTCACAATGTATAGGTAAGTCACCGATTACCAAATTTATACTTATCTAAAAGATGATCATGATCTACAGTGTTTACATAATTAGCTTCAGATGTGCCATTGTTTGCTAGTAACTTCACATTTTAAAATATTCAGTTATAAAACTAAAATGCTCAAATATTTAAGAATAAAACAGTAATTTTTTAAAGTAATATAGAAATTTAAATATAAAAGTCACATTAATGGATAGGAAGTTAAATTTCCCAAGTCTTTTATATTTAACTAAGTAAATGCTTTGCTATTAAAGCAATTAATTTATCTGTTAAAATACCACTCATCGACATTGACTATTTCTGAAATAGTCATAGAAGTAGTTTTGAATAGAAGCACTTCTAAGTACAATTATTAATACTGAACATTTATTCATTTGGAAGGCATTCTATTTTAAAACACTGTAGAATGCAAGGTTGGCCTTTCAGCTATGATTAACCATGGTGTAAATTGCAAGCAATAAAGTTTAATTATGCCATATTTATGCAAAATAAGGTAATTGAACATATATATAAGATATTCACATAATAAGAAAATCAAAGTCATTAGGAATAATCTTATCTTTCATTTCATGAGATGGTAAAAATGAGAATAGAGGTTTAAGTTGTTTATTTAGTATGCAAGCAGAGATATGAGTCATTTTAATGAACTTGGATTAAATGCTACCTTGAAATAATTTACTTATAAGAAAATAAATACCATACATATACAACCCATACACATAAGCATGCAAAAAAAGCCATTTTTCCTATTTAGATTATATCTCTGGTCACAAGTTTGTTTATAAATCTCAAGCAATTGTAATATGCAGCACTATTATAAGTGAGGATTACTATAGTTTAATTTTGGACTGAATGAGAGAAAGCACATGAATACAAGCACACACCTGGGAACCCACACCTCCTCACACAGCATAGCATAAAGGCAGACCAGAGCAAAACTTTCCTCTGCTCTTAGATCACAAATTCCATTTATTCTTTGACCTGCTTTTTCATATCTGTCTTTGCTGAACTTCCGAGTGTCTGGCTATATTCTTCCAACTGCTATATTATGTTTTGAGAAAATTCCCTTATAACTTAGAATCCCTTTTATATAAGCCTAAAACACAAGTCTCTTCTTCTGATATAAAATTTAATAATACCATTTGTTCCATACCTCCCCCAACAAAAACTTCACAAAACAGGACTGTGTGCTGATTTGTGTATTCATTTAGTGAAAGTCTTGTAACCATTGATTAAAAGGACTTAAGGGGTAAAGTCCTTAGAGAACAAAAGAAATGATAATAAAAATACTAATTACATATTCAGTTCCCCAATAATTGTTTGGCTTCCTTTTATTTGCATCAAGTCAGGGAGAATAAGAATAACTATATTTATATGCCTCAGAGTCCATGTTCTCTAATTGAATTTTGTGATAAATTTTACTTCTAATTTAAAAAATAATCTTAAAATACCTTTTAGTTAGAATATTTATGTGTTTAATTTTTTTCTGTCAGGAAAGTCAAGTATTATTTGGAAACATAGTTTGAAGTCTCCTTACCTAGCATATGCTAAAAAAATGAGCATGTTGGAAGGTCTTTATTCTAAAAACAAAGAAAAAAGTATGTGTGTGTGTGTGCATGCCTTTACATATATGTATAAATATAGAAGATGCCAGCATGTCCCCAACAGTGTCTGAACTGCATTATACATTAACACTCTTGGTCACAGCTGATGTCCCCATTCTCCATGCCTCAGCATCTTAGGAAATCTGTGTTTAGTTTTCAAACCACTGTTTGGAATCCATTGTTGGATCCCTGATTGATTTCTCAGTTCTTGAAGCCAGTGTTTGCACCTTCCATTTACACTCTTCTAATGCCTTCCTCAACTTGGTACATTTTATTTTCAATTGAATGTCTCTGCCAGCTCCTGTTTTATTAGCCCCCAACAGATATTACCCTTCCCCCCATCCTGGCCCAGGATCAGTGGTCTATGGAATTGTTGGGAACAAACAAAATCTCTTACCTCTCCACAGAAGGAGAAGGGAAAGAAAATACTTTATTTTAGAAGAAGCATGAAATCAAGATGTGATACTTATCAGAGGCAGTCTCCTAAGAGACTACAAAAGCAGAAAGACATGTCATCCTTTGCCATAGCTAAGCAGGTTCACCTCATTACATACATGTTGTCAAGACCATAGAAATCAGCTTGCAAGTAAGAGCACCTGACAGCACCATTTGTCATCCTAGATGCATCTGGTAATTGTGACATCCACGAGTCTTAGCTAGTTTGCTTTATCTAGAGGAGAAAAAAAACTGTACATTGTTATGATAGGAGGCAGTTTGCAACTTAGAGCAAGGTATTCGCCAAAATTTCTCTCCTACTTGACCACAGAGGCCTAGAGATAGGGACCTTCATCTTCTTTAAAGATTACATTTAGAAGATCATCTCCAAGCCTTACACAAAGTCATTCCTGGGGCTTAAAATTGACAGGAGGCTTATTTAGCTTTTACAAAGTTTCATATGCATTTCAAAGAGAGCTAATTTACATTTAAAAGTGATCTAAAGAAGCAAAGGAGAAGGTGGTGATGGGTGTACCTCCAATGATGATGATGATGATGATGATGATGATGATGATGATGATGGTGATGATGATGATTTACCTTCCATTTTTATTTTTTATTTTGTTTAGAGACAGGGTCTCTGAGTTACTTAGGGCCTCACTAATTTTGCTGGGTGAAATCCTCCTGCCTCAGCCTCCCTAGCTGCTGGGTTTATAGGCATACTTTTCCCCTCCTGTCCCTCTCTTATTTTTAACTGGGAAAATTTGTTTTTGCTTTCTCCTGTTTGTATTTACTTACTCTTGTGGCATTAGTACTGTGGCCTTGGCTGGCTTATTCAAGAGGAAAGGCTCAATGACAAGACCTTCATATATTTTCTGCTTTGTGAGTATTCTGAATTAATACTCTGCTTTGACTAACTAATGACTGCCTAGAGGGAAAGTAAGCAAAGGGATAAAAATGCCACCCTGCAGGGTATTGCTTAAGATTCCACTTGTGAATGTCTAACTATAGAGGATGATGATGGAGGTCAGAAGAAGCTCAGAGGATGCCCCCAAGAAAGTTAAATAATCTCCCCTTTTTGAGAGAGAGAGAGAGAGAGAGAGAGAGAGAGAGAGAGAGAGAGAAAGATAGAGACGAAGATATAGAGAAGCCATAATATCTAACCATAAGAATTAAATAGTCAGGATGTATTTTTTTAAAAAAAGAATTGTGTATCTATTTATCTGTCTATAAATACATATGGATATGCATATTTATAAACAGCGATACACCTACATATGTGTGTGTTTGTGTGCTGGTTAGAATGACTGTCCAGAGAAGCACTGATTTATATTTTATTAAATTTTAAATCTCTAAGAAAGAGCTTTCTTGATCCTAGAATAATTTTTGACATCTGATATCTCTACTAGTCTCTAACTAGGCCTTAGTGAGTAATTGGACCAGTAAAATAGAAACCTTTCATTTATATAATAGTCTTAGGAATTGTTTAGAAGCAGGCTTAAGTTTTAATGAAGCACAGCTGAGAATGATAAAGAGTGGGGGAAATATTACAAAGTGTTTGGGGCTGGCCTGGAACATGGTGAATGGAACAAGAGGTCCAGCAGGGGTGAGAGGAGAACCTGTTTGTTCCATCTCCTCTCTCCAAGGCTTGTTGTTCACACACAGGATGTTTTCCCCTGTCTCTGATATACCAAGCTCATTTCTGCATTAGAGTCTACACCCCTTCCATTCCCAGCAAGCTGACATTCCTACCTACATCACATAGGTCTTTGATCAAAACCCAACCATCCCTCCATATCATCTAAAGCAGCCTTTCTACTGTCCCACCAGTTTTGTATCCTACATTTCCTTCTGAGAATAAACTGTCACCTGAATTGTTTTCCTTTCTCTGCCCAATTAACATATAATTTTCAGGATAATAGAAACTTTGTACATCCTATTCACAATGAGCCTGGGAAGTTTTACCTAGAACTGAGCCTGGGGAAGGAAAAAAGTACTCAAAGTCATAATTTAGAAAGGGAGATGCTATATTATAAGTCCTAATAATGGGGATGTAGAATTTAAAGAAGGAGCAAAAGTGGTAAAAATTTATTGTTTTCATTTTTCTACATGTAAAAACTAGTTATTTTAGTACTTGATTAATAGTGCTTAATACAACTGAATCAAGATCTCAGGAATAATCAGGTGGTCTTTGCAAGTCCTCTTGGCAGAGTGAAGCATTGCTATAGTGAACAACACATGTGGGATAATTGATTAATCCCATTTTGAAGATAGAATGTGAAAACATGTAAAAATCATTGGTTCCAATTTCTCTAATCATTTACAATAGTATTATTTAAGTACATGTGATAATATAACCAAACTCATTAGTTAGTAGACCTGAATAACATTAGTTAATTAATTTTTAATGTGGAAAAGTCATTAGATAATTGATATGCCTCTACTTTGGTGTAAATATTTAACATTATGCTATCTTTGTCTCAGCATTTAGCATAGTGTTAGACAAGTAATAAATATTCAGTAGGTGTTTGACACCACAATGAATGAATGAATGAACAAACGAACTAATGAACGAACGAACGAACAAATCAGGCTTCTGTTATGAAAATGAAATTTAAGGCTTGAAAATGTATGAAACAAAGACAGATGTGGAATGCAAAGGGACAGTAGACAATCATTTGTGATATTGAGAATGTACTCATAGGCAGATAAAATAGTGACAAAGTTAATGGTTTGTGTACATTTTTAGTTTTTATTGCATTAAGTTATATTGTATTAGATCAGCAATTCAAATTCTATGAGTCAGTTGTGGTGAGCCGTTTCTGTGAACTGTGGCCACCATTACAAGATGGCGCTGGCTCCGCTGTGGTTTATGATAAACAACTCCTTGTTTTGGGAGAGTTGGCACGTAGCTGTAAAACACCCTATGAGAAAGATCCACGTGGCAGTTGTGCATTGGGGCTTGATTTGCTTTATCAAGGCTGGGGCACTCGGGTGAAGTAGTAGTAGTAGGATTAGAAGAAGTAGAGGCAGAGGTAAAAGTAGCAGTAACAGTAGCAGTAGCAGTAATAGTAATAATAATAATAATAATAATAATAATAATAATAATAATAAGAGAAGCTTCCAGAGACACAAAATTAAAGGCCTGAATAAACTGCTGAGAGAAAAATCCTGTGTCGTGTCCTCCTTGCTGGCGAGGGGTCGCGGCAGTCAGTCATCAAGAAGTATTCAATGAGAACTTCCAGCAGCTGAGTTCTCTGTATTCTGGACATACAAAAACAACCAGGACAGAAGCAGCTATGAGCATTGTATTTCTAGATATTGTATTTTTGGAGCTATATTGTGGTATTGTGCGCACACACACACACACACACACACACATATAGTTTAGATTAACCAAATGTGGTTTACTCTAATGCATTTTAAACTATTTTTAATTTATTAAGAACATTTAAAGAAAATTGAAAATAAGGTAATCCTTTATATTCTCTGAATTGCACGTATCAATCTACAAATTTTATTTCATATATTCCCAATTTTGATTAATAAAAAAGTGTAAAATGTGTGCCCATTTAAAAGAGATGTAAAAGACTAAATAGAAGTGTTTTATCTGTAGGATGTTTAAATTTCTAATGGTGTTTCTTAGCAAAGATTTTAGAAGAATTTACACTGTAGTTATCATTATCTTAAAGTGTTCTTGACATGACTTAGGATGAGATTTTTATTTATTAAAACTGTATTTTTAGGTTATAGCAACAAGTGAAAAATGAAACCCAACCATCCCTCCATATCATCTAAAGGAATAATTTGATGGTCTTTGCTGGTCCTGTAGCAGAGTGAAGCATTGCTATAAAGAGCACAATCCTGTGGGATCATTGATTTAAAAAACTGAATTAATTAAAAAGCTTCAGGATTAGATCTTTATTATTCAAGGTACTTTCTTTTTCATGTTTTCTGTCACTCCTTAGATATCTTTTATAAATTGATAAAGCTATATAATATTAGAACATGAAACTTCCCTTAGGGACCAATAATGAGATGACATTAATGGGTTATGCTGAGTTCTGCCAGGATAAATTCTAGCCTCAGCAACCAGAGAATACATAGATCTGAGTGATAGCAGTAGCCTCAGGAGAAAAACATGACAGTCATGAAGTATTCTATAATGTGCCATGGATTTGAATATCTAAAAAACACAAGCCCAATAAATATCAAAATCAGGTGTGAAATTCATAATCTTCCATCTATTGACTTTTTTAAAAACATTTAATCATTAAATATCAACATGAAATTTTGAGATATATAATCATGATTTTCACTAAAATCATTAATAATGCAAACTGAATAATACCCAGTATCTGCTCAACACTTTATATTTATTGTATTTTTTTCCTCCATATAGCTTATGCATCAGTGAGACTTGGAAACAGATCCATGACAACATTTGTCATCCCTGTTTTTTTTACATTAAACATCTGAAGCTTAAAAAGTTAATAGAACTCTCAGGTCAAACATCTCGTCAATGGGTTACTTATTTCAAGAGATTAAACCCTAAAATACTATGTTTCTCTGTGAAATGGTCTATCCAAAATTTAAGCTTTACTTTTGTCATTTTTCCAGCTTCATTAGACAATTAAAAAATAATATATATGTGATCTATGATAATATATCATTTATTTACTGTGTTTGGTGCTGAGAAAGTAAATATTAATCAGACTTAATTACTAAACTCAAATAACTTTCAGACTTTGGAAGTCACACCTTGAAGCAACTGATTAGTTCATAATGTGGCAGACGATCACAGAAGCATAGCAAAAATGCCTTATAAGCAATAAAGAAATAAGGACCCAGTTTGCTATGGCACAGCAGGATTTGAACAGCTGCTTAGAGAGGCAGAGCATACTTAAAACAATATTAACATTAGTGAATATTGAGAACTGGACATTGATAGTGTACTGTGAAATCTACCTTAAAACGTGTCATTCATCCCTACTGGCTGAAAATATCATTGATAGCATCTCATGACAGCCCGTTTGCTCAAAGAATTGGTCCTTCATGCTTTAGCCAATGATCACTTCCATAGGTTATTAGACTAGCTTCCACCTCTGAACAATGACCTCCATTATATGAGCAATACACAGGGTACACAGTTATTTCTCCTGGCTTTAAGGTGAGAAATGTATCTATATTACAAATTTTATTCCATAATTTCTAGGTGGTATAATCTAATGAGTCCTCAGATGAGAACTTATTTTTTTTGTTTCAACTTGTCTCCCTAAGTTTTAGCTTGGTTCATTCCCAGCCTTTCTGCTAAGAGACTCATCATTTCTGTCATTTGAACAAGAAATTCCATCTATCTTCACTTCTACAGAATCAAACCAAAGATACATGATGTCATATCAGTAGAAGATGAAGAGATGAGATAGTTGGATGAAGGTCTTAGGCAAGTAACAGTTACAAATTTATGAATTCACAAGATGCTGGCACGGGCATGCAAAGATCATAAGATCTTTGAAAGGATCTTTTTTACACACCTATTACATACTTTCCAGTCTTATACTGGATTAACCTAGTGTAAATTTCTCAAATCCAGAACTATATACTTCACATCGTAGAGATGACCAAAAGCTATTTGAATAAGTGAACAAAGATATAGCATGCTAAATATAGCAATAATGTGGGGGAAATTGCACTTATATGCCAAACTGTTTGACAAAGGATTTTAATTAAAATTTTTATCAAATGTCTCTGATGTGTTTAAATACATTAAAGGATAACTGTCAGGACAAATAAATTAGCTGCTTAGTCATGTCATTATTAAAATCGAACATAGAAACTGTAATAGCTCATGTCGCAAAGTGCAATTCAAATTCATTTAAGAAAAAAAAGGAGTTACTATATTATTTAATTGAAAAGCCAAGAATTATAATGACACCAATTTTGTCTGAATCCAGGTGTCTTAACTATTTATCAGAAAGTCTTTTCTATCCAGGTAGACTTTTCCCCAGGATCAAATGAAGGCAGATTTGCAGTCCTCAGTTCTAATCCTATATCCTCCTAAACGTAATGCTAGAAAAAAAAGAGAGTTTTCATTTCACAATATTATCATATGGACCAAAAACAAAAACAGAAAAATAAGTACAAGAGGGTATTTCCATAAGGGAATTAAGGATATTGAATAAGCCCAAATCAAAAATTTCTGTCATAGAAATGGTATTTGTGGTGAATAACTAAACATTTAGTCAATGCAGTAAAAGTGTGCCTGGAAATTATGCTGTATTATAAGAAATAATTAAAATGAAGAATGCTGGACTTCAAATTTTTATAAAGACAAAGATTTTTTCCACTTTAAATGAAACATTTCTTAAAGAAATATGAAATACCTCTATCCCTGAAATTATGTAAAAATGTAAAATACTCACTTAGAATAAGTCAATTTTGAATATATTGACAAAATTTTGGCCTAGAATTACTGATTTCTTAATGAGCTCTTTGATATTCCTGTGGTGGGGATGAATGTCCCCAGATGTCCTTGTGTTAAAGGCTTGATCCCCAGGCTGCCACTATTGAGAGGTGGTGAACCCTCAGGAAGTGGGACCTGGTGGGAGAGCTTTAGGTCATTGGTAGCATGCCCTTGACAGGGATTGTGAGATCATGGTTTCTTTCTTTTTCCTCTTGTTTCCTGGTCACACAGTGAGAAGTTTCCTTTGCCATAAGTTCCTTGCTATCATCTAACTGCCTGACAAGAGGACCACAGCAATAGATGCCCCTGACTTTGGATGAAAACCTTCAGAACTGTGAGCTAAACAAATTATATATATATATATACATATACGTATATATATAATGAATATATATATATCTGAATATATAAAATGTGATTACATTTATATACAGGCAAACTAGTTAATATATTTTTATGGGTGCATATATAGTTGGGAAATTTTAAAAACATAATAATGATGCACATAAAATACAATTGAGTGGTTATCTTTGGTTCTAGAGATGAAGGTGAATGTGAGCTAGAAGAGAGGGATTTCTGATGTTCTATTTATTAATGGAGTGATGCTGCTGATTATTCTTCGGATGCTTGCTTTGTACATATAATTTGATATAACTTTAATGTGATTAGCATGAAATGTCTTAGCATATAGCCTTTTAAAGTACCTTAGTAGACTTTGTTACATAGTCAACTAATTAATACCATCAGTTTTCTTACTCAGCATAATCATCTTTCATAGAAATTATAATTTGCAATTATATAATTGGGTGTTATCATGTTTTTAAAATTTTTTAAAAAATTATTAATTTGTTCTAATTAACTATACATCTCAGTAGAATACATTTCTGATACATTGCATATAAATGGAGCACAACTTCTCACTCCTCTGGCTGTATATGGTGCCATCACACCAGTAGTGTAATCATACAGGTATATAGAGTAATAATATATATCTCAATCCACCATCCTTTCCATCCTCACTTCCCTCCCATTCCTTCTTTCCCCTCTACCCAATCCAAAGTTTCTTCATTCTTCGAACCCTGTCCCCTGCCCCCATTATGGATCAACATCTGCTTATTGGGAGAAACATTTGGTCTTTGGTTTTTTGGATTTGGCTCATTTCACTTAGCATGATATTCTCCAACTCCATCCATTTACCTGCTAAACCTTATATTTTATACTTTAGGTATTTTGTTATAATAATGGAGCTTATTAACACAGACATTAACATTTTTATTTTAAATAAAACACGTATAACAGAAGAATCAAAAATATACCAAAAATATAGTTTACCAAAAATATAGTTTAATTAATTGTATAAAGTGAAGAATTTGTTAATCAATACCTGGTTTAAGAAATAAAGCTTTGCTTAACACCTGTTACATCCTATGCCCTATGCCAATATACATACCTGTTTTTTTATAAAATTGTCAATAGCCAATTCTGCCTTTTAAAATCTGTTATCATATTCTTTAGGATTTTATTATTTGAGTGTGTGTGTATGTATGTGCACGTGCGTGCTCACATATATGCATAGATACTAAAGTTTTTATTTTTATTTGATGATACATTTTGTTTTTCAGTCTACTCCACTTTTTAAATATCCTTTTATAGATTATTTCTTTTTTTTTTCCTTTGTTTTGATACCGGGATTGAACTCAGGGGGTCTTAATCACTGAGACACTTCTCTAACAATTTCTTTGTTGGCATACATGTTTCTTTCAAACTATAGAATTTTCCATGGTCTGGGCTTTATTATTGCATTATAGTATATTCCTTTTCAGTCCTGAAAATTAGCATATGGGACCACAGATTAGATTAAGATAGATTTTATAACTTTGTCCAGATACATTTTTTATGTGAAGAGTCTAATAATATCTGACATTCTTTTTTATTTTTATTTAATTTAAACTAGGAGCACTTTATCACTTTGGTACATCCCCAATCCTTTGTTTTTTATGAGACAAGTTCCCTATAAGTTGCTTAGGGCCTTGCTAAATTGCTGAGACTGGCCTCAAATTTGCAATCCTCCTGCCTTAGCCTCCCAGGTTGCTTGGATTACAGGTATGAACCACCACACCCAGCAGATATTACTTTTTTAATGGGTGCATATTAGTTATACACAGTAGTGGGTTTTATTGTTTCATATTTGTACATGCATATAACATAATTTGATCAATTTTCCTCCATACTATCTGCCCTTACCCTCCCCTCTGCCCTCCCCCGAGCCCTTTCCTCTACAGTAATGGTCTCTCTTCTACACTCATGAATAAAATGATGCTTGTCTTTATGAGTCTGACTTAATTCATTCAATAGAATGATCTCTAGTTCCATCTCTTTTTCTACAAATGGTATTATTTCCTTCTTCTTGATGGCTCAATAATACTCCATTGTGTACCTCTAACACATTTTCTTTATCCACTCATCTCTTGACAGACACCTAGGCTAATTACATTCCTTGGCTTTTGTGAATTGTGCCATGATAAACATATGTATATCTTTATTTCTAAAGTATGCTGACTTTAATTCTTTAGACAAATGCTTAGATATGGCCCTCCTGGCATTATCTCTCTGTTTCCGAGCTTCTCTGAGCTGATTAATTTTTCTCCTTCATATGGTTTCACCATGGCATTCTGCCCTGCCTCAGCCCAGAGCAGTGAAGTCTTTAAACCATTTACTGAGTGAGACCTCTGAAACTGTGAACCCAAATAAACTTTGCTTCTTGTTCTTGCCAGGTACTTTGGTCAGAGTGACACAAAGCCAACTGGCACACATGACTCTATTACTCCTGTCTCCAAAACAACTTCATTACCATTTGTCATTTAAAGATAGGTATCATATCTTATTCCAACAATGAGAAACTTAGCTCCAATTAATATTTGTTTATCTTACATATATTTTGGTTATAAAAATATACCTTGCTCATGCATTTTTCATGCCTACAATATAAAAAATATGTCATCTAACTTTTAAGGACTGAGCATGTTTATTACCATGGCTTATCTACTTTGGAGATTGTTATATAGCACTTTGATTTTTAAAAAGTGGATATCTAATTAATAATTATCAAATTTTCTCTTAAGTCACATGGTGATGTATCTTAATAAATGACATATCCTAACATTTTTTTAAAAAAATATTGCTTATTTTAAAATAATGTAAACAGGTTACATGTGTGAATTTTCTATAACTGGATTAGGGTTATAGAACCCAGACACTATCATACTATTTCCTCTAAAATATATCTAGTGATTTCTTAAGCATAATTTATTGAATTTGTAAAACTTGGAATAAACCACAATTTTAATCTCATCAACTTTGCAGCTACACCTTTAGCTTTAAATATACTCTTAGCTTTTCTTGAATATAACAAAGCTTGACATGATTTGAGGTAAGGAAATAATTTTTCAAAATTTATATTTTCCTGTAATTCTTCCTTACTTCAGTGCTGGTTATTTGCTTTCATTATAGTTGACATAAATGTTATATTGTTGCCTTTCAGGTGAATTAAGTCTAGAGGTAGCCTGAATCTGTCAAAATTATTTTGATAAAAAGTAGGTTTCATCAAGTATTTTTTTTCCTTTTTAATTCTTTTCAGCAGAAGCTTCTAAAATAATAAAATAACTCCCTGGAGATAATTAATCACAGTGGGAATTTAAGACATTATTATTAGAAGATGCAAAACATTCATACTGATATTTTAAAATAATATTACTTAGTTTCAAAATATATCCTCTCTCAACACTTACTTGGTATGATTTGTAAATATACATACTTATGTCATTTTTTGTGAGAAACATGAAGTCAAATTTAAAATTTATATTAATTATGTATGTTCATCTGCAAGATCTATTTTGCTAAAGAACATGGAATAGATTTAGATAATTTAAGAAATGACTTTAAAGAAATGATAAGTGACTCTAGGTGTATATTTT